TCCTAGGAGCTATGTACTCCAGTTGTGTCAGTCAAGTGTAAATTTACCGATCCTTTAACACCCTTGACCTAGTGTGCTTGTTCGAATGCTGCTAGAACCATTTTAACAATCATCAATGGTCTGGAGAGCATTTTATCATCTCTTGATTGCAAACTACACATTCGACAATAGATTTTTCTGTACTATACTTGCGCTGTAGTACAAACTACAAGCTCTAGCACAGTGCATGGTACAAGTGTGTTTGCAGTATGAAATAGTTAATGTACGGAAGTCAGTGCTGTGCGCACAATAATGGTACGAGGGGCGTGGACGAGATGAGACCACGTTCTGAGTACCATTATCACGCGCACAGCACGTGCTTCCGTACACTAAGTTATTTATTGTATGTGTGTGTGATTCAAAAGGCGGCGACCAGGAAAACCGGTGTTTTGTACGTTCAGAACGGAAGAGAGCTCGCGGAGCGCCCTTCCAGCATCTGTTTGTGTCCACGTCTGAGTCGAACTCCGTCTACGAAAAGGCCGCCGAGGCCGTCATTCCCGCAAAGCGTACGCTAGTCCGCGGATATAGTAGGGTTCGTGTGATAATAGTACAGTTCATTCAAAAACTGTTGTGCATGTTGAATATAGCACTGGCGGTGCCTTTGATTTGCCCACGCAAAATACAATAAGTGTGTAAAACATTCTCTGGAGTGTAGGTCGTAAGTGCTTAACAAGTATTCAGTGAGTGTTACATACGTCCCAAGCCACAGTGATACTGTAAGGAGCAACTGCAGTGATCCTTAGTCCTGTCACAAGTGGAGCAACTGCATATGTACAAAGACACAATGAATAGCTGTGCGTAACATTAATTCTTCCCATCCAGCTGTTATTTGGCTAAGCAGCACCTGCTTCATTTTAATGATAAAATGGCACCAGCACATAATTCCTTGGATTCAAAGATACTTTCTTGTTGTTGGAGCTGCAGAGGAGCCCTAGAGGGAGGGTGCTGCTGTTGATCTAATACCATGAGTACAGGAGGTCATGGCATATGGTAGCATATACCAAAAAGCATAGACCCCTTTTCCGCGTGTTCAGGGCTAAGCAACACAAGGTGTGACACAATTTTTGGTTAGTACTTTTCCTTCATGTACATAATTTAGTGCATAACACCTAAGGACAGCAGTCAGCCTGAACTTGTAATTATGCAACCACTAAGATTTAACACGGCCCTGGAGGTTGAATACTGAACACTGCAACCATTAATTTGGCAAGCACAAACGACCTAACCTAATTGTCCATTCGAGCATATTTTATTTGGTAGATCTATCCACTTGCTAATATAGAGTTGGGACACTGCAGTACCTGACCTACCAGAAGTTCCAGGGTTACAGATGAGTCCAATACTCTCACTCAAACTGCAGTCATGGACACCCCACCCTCTGTGAATGCAGTCCTCAAACCTGTCTACATTCGAACAGTCAATATTATCCAGCAGAATGGGAGCTGTGTCAATGATAGGAAAGAGGGAAATACATTTTTTGTCATCCACCAAGTCCAACTAGCTAGCTACACACGACGTTTTATTTGTCAATATAATAACATTTGTGAAGTCTTACAGCTCATGCTGGTAAATAGCTACATACACTTACAGTGCTTACACAAGCAGGTGGTTATGTATCTGTATAAGTATACTTGCTGTGCTGGTGTGTACCTTTGCTAATAATAGCCTTTTCAGTTTCTGATTTTCTGTATTTACAGTGGATATTGTAACCTAATCTACAAAATACCTCAGTGGCAAATATGAATCTTTAATACTATGTCCCTATTATACTTTGGTGCATAGCTATACTTTTAGTAAGGATGAGGCACTGAATAATAACCGAACCTGAGCTTGGGGGAAACGGACGGTTGGCGTAACAAATGGCTCCATCAGTGTAGTTGAGACTCAAACAGGCGACGTCTGCTTCGTCAGGCCCGAACAGGTCATCACAGACGTTGCCCCACTGTCCATCGTGATACACCTGGAGTCTCCCAATGTAGGGCTCTGTCAATGGATTCTGAGACAAGAGTCTCATGGGCAGTGTGGAGGGCGGAACTGTAGCAAGACATACACATAGAGACTGGAACTTGTGTTTCTCTGGACATTTATACTCATTTCTCAGCCATGTTATTATATGCCACAAAATGCTGATGTACTTAGATCTATGATTATCCAAATGATAAGGTTGACATCAAGTCACGTGACTGTCATGTGACAACAATGCCTGCTGAATCTAGGTCCTTAAAAACTCAGTTAGGCTTATTGTTTTTCTAAGACTTGAACTGTAATGGAAAGCTATAAGTATGCAATCTTGGTCTACAGGGGCCTCTTTGAGTGCAGGAAATTATCACAAAATTTGCGTAGAATTAGGATTGTAGAGGTACCTTAGAGTTAGGCTGATTTTGCAGCATTTTTACCATGATTTGACTGCTTTGGGTACTAGATATATTTGTACAAGCTTCTGTTTTACAAAGAGCAGTGATAATTAACCCTCGGCGCGCATGTGGGTGTGTGTGTGTGTTTGTCCGTTCGTCTGTTACCACGTTTGCTGCGACTACGCGCAAGAAGACAACGAAATAGCAATACCAACAGGTTCATCGCTACACTGGCCTAATTTTAGAAAAGGCGATTTTCGTATAACTACTGCGATCAAAAGTTATGGCATGAAAAGCAAGTCAACAAGCCAATTGCAAATTAGCACAGGCTTACCTCGTATCTTGAAGGCACAATAAGTCACAACGAAGGGCGTGTATCGACTCCCGCATTGTATCTACTACTGTAGCTAGCCCGTGTCAGACTCTCCGCGAGCTACAACGAGTAAACGCACACTTATAGCCCAGCCCATCAATTAGCGGTACCGTGCATGCGCAGTTCGCTGAGGGTTTGCACTTTAGTGCTTTTCGTTCGTGTCAGTATGAGACACTAAGTGTTCTAACCTGAGAGAGAGAGCAACCATTAACCTAAACTTGCATGTCCAAAGTTATCTCTCCATGCATGTATCCAAACAACAAATGCCTCGTTACGACATATACAGTAGTCACAAGTATATGCCAATTGTAGGTGTCTAGTATGTAAGACTATAAACTAAGTAACTGACTCATATCAGCCGTTGCGATGACGACAGGATCGCTGTATTCCCCCAGCAGTTCGTTATAAGGGCACCACTGGTACTCCCCATCAGCCCTGATGTAGAGAGTGTATGAGGTGTTGAACGAGAGACGCGGGATAGTGTAGCTGAAATCCATCGACGTGTTGGTCACAGGCACCCTAGTGACAAATATTCTAGCAAATGTCGCGTCTTCTGACGTTACGTTCAGCCTGAAGTCGATTGCTTGTATTAGCGGTGGAATAAACTCCAGCTGGAGAAGAAGAAAGCATGCAGTGAGACAGGGCGATAACAGAAGGCCATTAACTGCAGTGGCTGTTCTTATGTGTTTAATCAAAATGCAGACATTTTCTATGGAAGACAAAATGTTCCCCCATTAAAACAATAAGTGTTGGCCTGATCGAAGATTGTTGTGATTACTTTGTAGTGAGTGGCTCAGGTTTTCATATCAGGCAAAGGTTGATGCATACCTGCCATCCCACTGTGATACTTCTTGTTGTTTCATTCAGTACTGTTATTTCATACGGTACTGGCATCACAGTTGGGTCTGCAGATTTGGAGGAGAGTATGTTTATTACAAAGTATAAGTTTTAAAGTGTAGCAGTATATTCAGTGACCACTCCTAAAGCATACCTCTACTAAAACAAGCACAGATTCTTTGTTGGACGTTTGGTACCTCCATAAAACACTTTGATTTTGTATCAATTTTGCAATGAAACACACAGCTTTTTTGAAGTCGAGACAAAACGGAAGGCACTAAAGTGCCAAAGTGCCAACCGTTTGAGCAGTGCTAAGCTGTAGGTATTATGCACTATGCACTATCAAAAGCTATGGGCTGGGCCAGACCACAAAGTTGCTAGCGATGACAGCTTCTCGATCTAAAACTGGCTAGCAGTATCAGTGAAAAATTTCATGCTCCTGTCATTTTGAGGCAACCATAGGTCACCTTGTAGCCAGTAGCTGTAATCAGACACACACACACACAAATTTACTGTAACCCTCACTATGCAATGCATGCTCCAAATAGGTTAATAGGACATGGTCCCCTCAACACTAATACTGCACTAGCCAGCCATCTACCATTTCTTTGCATTTGTAAGTGAAAGCTATGTCTATGTCTGTAATTGTTTGCTTTACCACTGCCTAGTGACTTCGTTGCTGTTTACATTTTCTGAAGTGCACAAATACCAATGCACAAGTGTGCACTCATGTAGACGTCTAGTCATCATAACCACGCACACACCTTGGCAGATGAGGGCAGCGTCACGGCTGTGTGTACACGGATTGATATTGTATGGATTGCTGTTCCGACACCGGTCCAGAGTTGTGTCGTAGTACCTACAGGCTAGGTTACTGAGCCACACACTCCCTGTTCCTTCTCCAAATGTGCTTGTAGCATAGTTGACAGCGCAGATGTAGCCTGTGTAGTTCAGCATCCTGGATGTGAGTATGTGAGTGAGAAACAGAGTATAGATTCTGCAACACACATTGTTGGCATGCTTTCACCCATTGACCATGCCAAAAACCTAATTAACCCTCGGCGATCATCTGCAGCGAGGGTTACAGTACTAGGCCTCTCTGTGAGTCTGTGTGTTTGTCGATGCATATTCTGCCACTACAGGCCAGGAGGCGACCTATAAGCGATACCAATGGCTTCAGAACTATAAATGTGAGCCTGAAAAATAAAACGGTGATTTTCTGAAGCGACTGTGTTCGAGAGATATGCCGTGAAAACAAGCGAAAAAGGCAATAGACATAATCGCACTGGGTTACCTTGACATGATCCGCTTGCTCTGCGTACCTTGGAGACTCAAGAAGGCAAAACGAAGGGCTTGTGTCGACTCCAGCATGTATCTATCCTATAACTTCCTTCCTGAGTGGAATATTGGAATTCTGCTACAGCGAACATATGGTGTAAAGTGACTGTAGTGAAGTGCGGAAAGTCCCATTGGTGTAAGTTGTGTAAACTCTAATTTACCCAAAGTAGACCAGTACGCTATTATGACCGCTCGCCGCCAAGACTTGCAAGTTCTGTACGGATAATGCTGTTTTGGGCTCTATATAGATCAATCCAGTTTTATTTGGAAGGGGTATTTGGAATGTGGAGCTGAAAAAGTTTTTTGTAAGATCAACTATGGACGTTTTATCTTAAAGCCCACATACTAGTTAGCTACGTACATAGCCTGTGTTAGACTATGCGAGTTAATAGGCCGGCGACCACGAAGAACCGCTACTCTGATGCCAACATTCTGATGTCTGAATGTGTGGGGTAGGAGCAGGATATTAACATTTTCTACTGGGCAGGCTGTGCCAGCAGGTCGCCTGCAATGCTTTTCTACGCAGCCTTGTCCCATGCAAGGTAGATGCGGATGGCGTACAGGTTATACCGTACGCATGGGCGGTACTGTATTGGTGGATTGTATTTTAAAAAGGAAAAGCACTAAAGTGCAAACCCTCGGCGAATTGCGCATGCGCGGTACCGCTAATGATGGGCTGGGCCTATTATATTAGTATAAGTACGTTTACTCGTGATCTCCCGCTAGTAAAGCTCCGGAGGAGTCTGACACGGGCTAGCTACAGTAGTAGATAGCATGCGGGAGTCGATACACGCCCTTCGTTGGGCCTCTTGTGCCTCCAAGGTACACAGAGCAAGCGGACCCAGTCGAGGTAAGCCTAGTGCTGATTGCATATTGGCTGTTCACTGTGTTTCACGCCTTAACTTCTGAACGCGCACGTTTTACGAAATCGCCATTTACAAATCAAGCCAGTGTAGCGCTGAAGCGTTGTTTGTGCTATTTTTACCTGCTGTTGCGCGTCGGGGCACGAAAACGTGTAACAGACGGACAGACGGACAGACCACCAGTACTGTAACCTCGCTGCGCATTTCGCGCGCGAGGGTTAATGAAATTCATCCCCACAGGGCTTTGCCACTGGTATGTGTGGCGTGACCATGCCCAGACATTCTGGTTTGGAGCATAGCCCCCCCCACTCATGCTGGTCAAGGTCAGCACCGAGCCGAAACCAGACATTCAAATACTGATAATCTCCTACACATTGCTTCAACAATCGTGAACACTGTCATATCTATCTGAGTAAATAGACTGAAACTACTGAAAAGACATTAGATACTATGTGAATATTGGGTAAAAGCAAACTTATTACGGTGTATATAGTTACCATTTTTACCCCCTTGTGAACAAAGTTCAATTTTCTTGATGCTTCTATCCTAGATGTCAGTTTGGCTCGTGCTGAATTGACCAGCAATGGCGAAAGAAAAGAATAAAGGGGGTAAGCTATTCCCCTCGTTTATTTTCGTTCCCACTTGAATCACGTTTGTGGGTGCTTGTCCTGGGCGGGGGGGGTGGGTTTGAGGGGGTGGCGGGTCCGGTGATCCTCCGGCCCCTCGCCGTGTGGTTTAGTCCTCCTTTTTCCGCCTGTGTCGCCCGGTAATTCCACTGTCTTTTGACGATTCTTCTCAGTTCTCAGTTTATTATCTTTGTTTCCTTCCTTTCCCCCTTCTGTCCCCTCTCTCCAGCAAGTTCACCATCTGTACTTGTGCCTTTTTTTCGTTCCGTACCTACATCCGAATTCCTCCCCCTGGGGGGTAGTGGGGGGGCCGGGCGGGGGGGCAGGTGGGTGGCTACGGGTGGGCCGCGTGGGGGCTCGCGGGGGTGGTGGGGGGGGGGTGTGGCGGCGTGGGGGGGGGGGGTCGGGGGGGGCGGGGGTGGGTCGGACGCTATTGATTCTTGCCTCATCTTCTTTTCCTGGTCTTTCTCGACTTGTACTGGCTTTTTTCAACTGTAGCCCTTCTGTGGTCTCATCCGTTTTCTATACTCTGGGGCCCTATCCTGTTCACTAGTGCCGTATTTTCTTGATCTTAGCGGTTTTCCCTGGTTCTCGTTCCTCTTTTTCGGTATTTGCACTTACTTCACACTTGGGGCAGCACTGACTAGCACCCTTGAATCCCTAGTTCCTCTTCCTCGTGCTGCTTCGTAGACTGTCGCCTTTATAGTTCTTTATTCTTTGACTTTTTGTTGCCCTCTCACTCCGCCTCGCTTGTCGGCGACTCTTTTGATTGACCCGCACTCCCCCGTACGCTTTATTTGATTTCCGTCCTTCCTTTTCTCCTGTCAACTACCGTCCCTCGACCCTTTTCCCACGGTGCTTCTTCTGGGGCGTCTTCCTAACCTCATTATGGCCTCTCTTGTTCTCTTGTTTACTTGCACGGGATTTTTTTCTATTTTCTACTTGTCTCTTTTTCGACTTATAGAATTCTGACCTCAATCATACCTGCTTAACGTCGTCATCCGTTTTTTGTTGGCCTCTGGCTGGGGGGCGTTGGGGGCTAGGTCGAAGTCGTCGATTTTGGGTTGGGCGCCGGGCGGGGGTGGAGGGGGGGGGAGGCGGGAGGGAGGACGGTGTTGGGGCACGCGGGACCCTAAGGCGGGGTGGGGGTTGGGGGGGGGGGGGTGGGGTTGCTGACGGGCGGTGGAGCTCGGGCGGAGGGTGGGGTACCTTGGCTTCCCCGCTTCCCGCTTATTATTGCTTCCCCTGCTCACCGTAGGGTTTTTTTTCCTTACCTTTTTCCTACCTTTATCGATAGACGGTGCTCACAGCGTCCCCACTATGTTTTTTTTCACGGCTACTTTTCGTTGTTTTGTTTCGTTTCTCGCTCGCCCCCTCGTTTTGTTACCCAGCTCTAGTTTTTTATCCTATCGCCCTAACACGCGCCCTTTCCTCGTTCTATTTCTTATTTTTCTATCGTGTCCCCCCTTTCTACGTCCTCTTCCGGTCTCCTGAAACATCTCTTTCGTTGCGATCGCTTTATTTCACCCCCCCCCTTACCTTCCTCAGGCCCCCCCTTAAGGTAACACTTCACGACTACTGAGTTACTTGTCCAAGCTTTTTACTGGGCCTGTCGTGTTTATATTTTTCGGAAATCCTGTGGCTCTCCTACTTCACTCTCCGACTCCACACCCCCACAGTTCGACTGACTTTCTTTCACCCCAAACCTATTTTTCTCCGCCCTCTCCGTCATCCTAAACGCGTGCCTTTTCTTCCCTTTAGCCCTCACAGCTTTTTCACCTTCATCTTTCCTCTTTCGGGTGTGGTGCGGGGGGGTGGGGGGGGGGGGAGGTGTTGAGGGGCCTAGGCGCCACTACAGGCTACGAGGTGGCCAATGAGCGATACCAATGGCTTCAGAACTATATATGTGAGCCTGAAAAATAAAACAGTGATTTTCTGAAGCGACTGTGTTTGAGAGATATGCCGTGAAAACAAGTGAAAAAGCGAATATGCATAATCGCGCTGGGTTACCTTGACCTGATCCGCTCGCTCTGCGTACGTTGGAGACACAAGAAGGCAAAACGAAGGGCTTGTGTCGACTGACTCCAGCATGTATCTATTCCTTCCTCAGTGGAATATTGGAATTTTGGTACAGCGAACATATGCGCACTATAGGTATAAAGTGGCTGTAGTGAAGTGTAGAAAGTCCCATTGGTGTAGTTGTGTAAACTCTAATTTACCCAAAGTAAACCAATACGCTATTATGACCGCGCACCGCCAAGACTTGCAAGTTTTCTGTACGGATAATGCTGTTTTGGGCTCTATATAGTTCCATCTAACAAATTTTCTGAGTTTTATATGGAAGGGGTATTGCAATGTGGAGTTAAAAAGTTTTTTGTGAAATATCAACTATGGACGTTTATGCTGTCACGCACTATACTAGTTTAGCTACGTACATAGCCTGTGATAGACTCTGCGAGCTACTAGCGGCCGGAGACCACGACTAACCGCGTACTCTTAGTGCAGTGTGCCGAGGGTTTGCACTTTAGTGCTTTTCATTGTATGTTTATATTATGTCAAAGGTTATATTTCCCTGAGTGCCTACAATTGAATTTGAAGTTTCAAGATTATCATTCACTCATGATAATCACCCTACAACATTGCTTCATACACACATGAACACTGTCATAATCTGACTAAAATGGACTATATAGAAAACTACTGAAAAGATATTAGATACTAGGGAATACTTGGAGTAAAGACAAACTTATTACGGTACCATTTTTCTACCCCATTGTGAAAAAAGTTTCCCATGTTCTGATACCTGCTAGCACATAGATGTCATGCACTTTGCGTGAAAGAGCCTTTTGTCAGGGAAAAGATGATTGTAGCAAACATACCCACAGATGACATCTGCATCATAGCTGCTCCAGCCGTTTTCACAGATGGTGCCCCAGCGTCCATAATAGTTGACTTCAACCCGACCAATGTGATTACCATAGGGGTTGTCGGCAAGACGAACTCCCTGGTTCTCTAAACAAAGGAAAAAGAATGGCGTTTGTCTTAAGGAATCAATTTGGCATGCTCCATTTTAAGGTGTTCAGTGCCTTCATGCAGTATGTACTGCAAAAGGTGTCATAGAAAATCAGGTACGTCTATTAAGTCTTTTAGTTTGTTATAGCTCAGTCCAGTGTCTTGGTACTTTGTCATTGGTCCTATATTTGCTAAGGCGGCTATGTGTAACTCCATGGCATACTTATTTAATCTTTCTGTGGTGCAAGTGACACACTCTAGGCTTTCCTGTGCTACTTTTTTGTGATTGTGGAGCTACTATGTTTATAGTGGGAGCAAGGAAACCTTTCCACTTGGGTCTGCTGGGCAATGCAGGCAGGGTGACATGTCAGATAGGCCCTTGCATGGTGTAAGTGAGCATTATTTATAGCGAAGATGGGTTGTTCAGGCTGCTCTGTGCTAGAGGCCAATCAATCTGCTACATACGGATACTGAAAAGCGTGCACCCATACTAGTGTAAGCGCACGGTGATGCATTAAAAACTCGTAACAACTCTAGACGGATTAGCATGTGTGCCAAAATAAATACAGCTAAAACTAAATAGAAGAGTATTCAGACCTTATCTTATCTTTTTGCAGTATAAAAATAAACACAGCTACAACTAAAATAGAAGAGTAGCTATTCAGACCTTATCTTATCTTTTTGCAGTATATAAAAAAAACTGGCTAAACATTACTGGGCGCACGTAGCTATTATTACAAGTGGAAAAATCATTTCTTCAAAATGAAAGGGGGATATAGGGATGGCTTGAAGCACCAAAAAGGAAGAAACAAGGGGTCATCACACAGCAAAGTTGCACAAAGCTACATGACACCATCCCTATATCTTTGTTCGATATTAAACTTTGCTTATAAACAATAAAACAAACGATATAGGGATGGTGTCATGTAGCTTTGTGCAACTTTGCTGTGTGATGACCCCTTGTTTCTTCCTTTTTGGTGCTTCAAGCCATCCCTATATCCCCCTTTCATTTTGAAGAAATGATTTTTCCACTTGTTTCCACTATTTTTTAACAGCTTATGACAACACTGCATTTATTGCTACAGTCACTCTGATGTTCATGGGCATGTTGTAGATAGGCTACTATAGACAAATTGTAACTGTAGTAGTAGCTAATGGGGCTGCTAGTGCCTGAAGCAGGGGCTGGATACCACATTCACCTCGTCTTCAACACGGATGTAATTAGATTATTGCACATGGTTGTGGTTTCATGGGCAGGCTTTGGTAATCAGGCTACAAACCTTGGGGGCCGATGGACTGGACGCCCCGCAAGGCTCGCGTAACACCGCGCAGACTCTGGCAAGTTGCTCTTCGTGCAAATCAACAGCAAGCTAGCCAGTTGCAAATGTGCACACTTACTTACAGAAGGTACTGGAGGCTGACAGTTCCTCTGCAGGTCTGCCAACTCGCCTGGTATACGCTCGCAAGCGCATGTGGACAACGCCCCTGCCTGGCGCATGCGCGCGGCTCACTGATGCTGAGTTAGCAGCAAATGGCGTTGTTCAGTGTCGACCTTGGAAGAGCTCCATGATCTACCGTAGTGACTAGCGGCGAGAAAGAACCGATCGCTTGATGTCCGTGCACACCTCGGGCGAAATTGGAGACGTTCAGTGAAAAAATTAGCGCTTCAACTTGTTCCAGTAAGGAGAAAGCGGGTCTAAAGAAGAAGAAGAAGAAGAAGAAGAAGAAGAATATGATGACACCAAAATCGTGAAATCGCGTATGAGCGAATTCTCGCGTGGACGACTGAAGGTGGGTATGAGGTCTTGGGGGACATGTATAGGTAGATATGTGCCCGTAGACTATTGCTAGTATGTTTTGAAGGCCTAGGGAGTGATTCTCAGCGAGTTTTTAGTCATTTTGTACGCGGATCACGTGAGATTTCACCCGTGTCATCCCTATATAGAGAGTCTACCGACTCTCTGATAGCAGCCCACCGCGGCGTGTCGGCAGACCGCATCTCAAGGTGCATCCTGCGCTTTGATCCCCAACGTTGGACACACAAAATAGCTAATGGCTACGTGATCACTAGCTACCTCCCTCTCTTTTGTCTATCTACGTTACTAGCTACCTACGCATTCTATAAAAAACATAAAACAACTCGGTGCTCGTCACCACGGGATATCATTTGCGCTAGTCTAGGTTGCTCACTCACGTTGAGCCGAGATAACGGCAAGGAGAGTAAGTACACCCATAGTAGTGTAAGCGCACGGTGATGCATTAAAAACTCGTAACACTCTAGACGGATTAGCAAGTGTGCCAAAATAAACACAGCTACAACTAAAATAGAAGAGTATTCAGACCTTATCTTATCTTTTTGCAGTATATAAAAAAAACTGGCAAAACATTACTGGGCGCACGTAGCTATTATTATAGCAGCCCACCGCGGCGTGTCGGCAGACCGCATCTCAAGGTGCATCCTGCGCTTTGATCCCCAACGTTGCACACACAAAATAGCTAATGGCTACGTGATCACTAGCTACCTCCCTCTCTTTTGTCTATCTACGTTACTGGCTACCTACACATTCTATAAAAAAACATAAAACAACTCGGTGCTCGTCACCCACGGGGATATCATTTGCGCTAGTCTAGGTTGCTCACTCACGTTGAGCCGAGATAACGGCAAGGAGAGTAAGTGCAGCCACTGGCAATAGCGGCAACCTCGCAGCTTTTTGTGCAGACATAGCAGCACCAGTAAACGACTGATGAAATGCGAGACTGCAGAACCTTTTAATAGCGACTGCCGCCGGCTTCCGCCGAACTTACTGCGCATGCGCTTTGTAGCCCGCTGAGTCACGCCTTCTAAATCCCATTCCCGAGAGGGCGTGGCACCGCGAGGCTGTATAGGCGCGCGGCGGTGAGCGCCACACAGAACCAATTTCCTGGTGGGAAGGAACTAGCCTTGGAACCCAGGCCTTCCCCGTTCAACGCATATATAGTACAGTAAGCGTGAGCATGCGCGGAATAATTGTCACAAAATTTATTCCGCGCATCCTGAAGCGTACTACACGCGTTGAAGCGGGGAAGCCTGGGATCCGAGGCTAGGAACGTGGCTTCCGTTAGAACGACTCGCGTGCAGTTTTCACATGCATATATTTGGCTTGGAGTTGGGCGTCATTGGTACCCCGGTCTGCTCCTACATGCTAAGTGAGAGTTTACTGTGCCATAGCA